TGTGTGTGTGTGTGTGTGTGTGTGTGTGTGTTGTGTGTGTGCCCCTAAGAGAGAGACACAGCTAGGCAGATGGCAACAAGTACTACCCTTTGCATTTATTGCGATAGTCGTAGTAGTAGTTTCACCGCCGTCGACAACAAGATGTTGACAGGCCTCTAAAACCCTTTTTTTCCCCTTAAAAGTTAAAACAAAAAAGAAAAGAGGCACACGGTGAGGTAAGCATGGGAAGAGCCCTGAAATAAAGGAAGGACTTTTCACCCGAAGAATATCAAATGGAGAAGGAAGAGCCAAAAGACACACAATATACAGCGACCGGAAGACCCCACGGCTACCCCTTGGTCGCCTTTTCTTTATTTACCATTTTTCCATAGAGTCGCTGTGTGGACCTTTGAACCCAAATCCCATCAAGCCGTGCAGAGACACACTCATATAATAATGCCACCCATACACCTGAGCAAGTGCGACCTTTCCAACTCTCTCTCTCTCTCTCTCTCTCTCTCTCTCTCTCTCTCTCTCTCTCCAGCGACGACTTGCCCACAGAAGATCAATATATACATAGTCGTATATGTACTAATGCATCACTTTGAGCACCTGGGAGCATACAGCAAATCCACTGCCTGAGAACATTCTACACTAGCATTCCAGTAACACGTACATGTCGTCGTAGTGTAGTATCCTAGAATCCTAGTATACTAGTATACTAGAATAGGCAGTACGAAATGTGCCACACTACACGATTGTCAGCTTAAATGGCCATATGGAGGGAGGAGAAGGAGAACATGAATCAGAGCGAGAATTGTCTAGGCCTACGGAGTGTGGACGGCCAGTGCCGGTGCATGAATGCCAAGAACCGGCCGAAACAGGAAACGCTGAAAAAAAAAAAAAAAAGCGCTCAAACCTCTGCTTGTCAGGAGAGAGACTAGGTTTTCAACTCATCACAACAGCATTCACAATGGAATCTGCGAGTGCGTGTAGAGCAGCATCCATAGATGTTCTCATGTATATCGCTTGTGCATTCAAACGTAACACTCAGAAACTGTTCGGTCACAAGAGTGCATGCCTGCCTCATCACAGCAACGTCAACTGCCCTATCTCTACCTACGAACTGTGTTAGCAGTGGATGGTATGTGTTTGTGTGTCTGTGTGTGTGCGTGCGCGCAAGAGAGAGAGAGAGAGA